AGCTAGAAGGAGCAAAAGATGTGGTATGTCCACGGAATGGGGTGAATCCACCATATATACCACTAACATCATCAACATGCTCACCACCACTTTTAGCACCAACATCACCAATATCAACACCAACATTAACATCAACATCTATTGCAACATCATCAGCATCACCAGAAACAATAGGTGCTTCCCTTTTGATCGTTGTTGCTCCAGCCAATTCTTTTTTTATCAGATCCACTGTAGGGTTTGATTTTGTGTCAATAATTCTTAAAGTTAAAAAGAATGACATTTGCAACTCTTACTTTGTGGGGACAAGCCATGGAGTTACAATCTATAAACAAAAGTATTTTATATTAAAACTAATCTATAAATTATAATTTATAAAATATTTATTGTAATATTTACCTATATATTTAATTTCTAACAAATGACCCATCTATTGCAACAAATGGGCCATTTATTGGAACAAAGCAAAACAGTAGCACATGATCAAGTTTTCTTACAACAGATAACTAATCTGTTGCACCAGTTAGGTCATCCGTGGGAAGTAAGCAAAACAGCAACAAGCTATTGAGATTTAGTCTAATAGATGACACATCTGTTTCAACAGATCAATAATCTATTGGATGAAAGCAAAACAACAACAAAAGATTGAGATTTCGTCAAATAATAAATGATTAAGTTTTTGTCCAATAAATGACCCATCTATTGCAACAGATGACCTATCTATTGCAGTAGATGACTATAGATGAGTCATAAAATAAAATTGATACAAAGAGGACTCTTCGCAAGATCAAACTTTTTTCACACATTTGAAATTGCTAACGAATACATAAAGAGAAGACAACTCAAGTTCTTCTTCTTTATAACTAAATGGAAAAGAGATCAAACTTCTTTCTCACATTTGAAACTACTAACGAATACATAAAGAGAAGACAACTCAAGTTCTTCTTTTGCTTTATAACTAAAAAGGAAAAGAAAGCTTGATCCTGATTATGATGTTATGCACACCTTGTAGACATTGTTGCTCAAATCCAATTGGGCAGAATCTCTAACTTACACTATTGAAAAACTCATGGCCCCATGACAAACTCTTCTAATCTTCCTCCAATTGCAACATAACTATGTGTAAGTTAGAACAACAAATCGTATATTAGCCAATAGTTCGGTTTGATTAAAAACATTTAATCATTTCAGCTTAGCCTAAGTGTAGAAAAAAATCTTAGAAAGACTTTGTCCTGTACTTGTTGCTTTGTTCCAAAAATATTATAGCTAGAGGGATCTTATTCTATAGATATAAGAGTTTAAAAGTAAAGAAGAATAAAACCCTTCTCTTTGCATGAATTGTCGAAAGTAAAAATCATGTGAACTCTAGAAAATTGACTTTAGCACTGTTCTTGGAGGCAATAAATTATTTATGATGTCTTGATTATGTTTTCCTTTCTTCATTCTTTCCAACAAAATCAAGAATACCAACAACACCAATTGATTCAATACAACAACACAAACAACAATAAGAAGTCAATATATCAACAATTGTTCGAGAAATACAAATAATAAATATGTCTACGAAAAACTCAAAAATCATAATAACTATTACTATTACACAGCAATGTTGGAGAACAACAACAACAAATTAGGGTTTTTTTTTTCCAGATTTGTCTTCTTTTTCAAGCATCAACTTCTAAAATTGCTAACGTATACATAAAGAGAAGACAACTCAAGTTCATCTTTTTCTTTATAACTAAAAAGCCCTAATTTTTTTCAAAAATAAAAGTTTTTACTTGCGAAGAGAGAAAATTGATGCTCAGAATCGAAGCAATTGCCGGAAGTTGAAAAGTTGAGACCCGAAAGTTGAAAGGTTGCCGGAAGTCGATTGGAAGCGATGGTGGAGCAGCTTGAGGAAAAGACGTTTGAGTCGGAAGAGAGGAAGAACAATGAAGAAGAGAAGTTAAAGAAAGTGGAGAGAAATTTGGATTGTTTTGTATTTTAAAATTTGGACTGTTTTGTATTTTTAAAAAGATTAG